AACAATCTTCAGTGTTCGTCTTTGATTTTGTCAAAACAAATCTCATAAAATCGGTGAAGTCAAAATTTGTACGTAAAGTCTATCTATACTAAAAAAGGTAGATTCAAAATTCTTTATATAATTTATTTTTTTCATTATCTAATTCCTTCTTATTATCTATATGTTTAGAAATCTGTTCTGATTTTGTTCAATCCTCTAATTGTGTTTGTATCATATACCATATAATCGGTTTAACAAAAAAAAAATCTCATAACATCTGATAAGTAAGAAAAAAAAGTACGTAAAATCTTTACTAAAATAAAAAAAGGCTTTATTTATTATCTAATTTATTATCTAATTGTATGAAAATCTATTCTGATTTTATAGTATGTACTATAAATTGTGCACCCGTGTTCAGGAGCTACTTCACGGGCAAGCTTTGTGGAAATAACTCATTTAGTGCTTCTGTCATGTACATACGGTATGTATTTGTATTACACATACTAGAAAATTGTGCACCCCGTGCATCGCACGGACTCTGTACTAATAAATGACCTTAAAATTGTGCACCCCGTGCATCACCTGTGTTCACATTTGGCCTATTACAAGTGACGTACAATAAGATTTGATAAATAGCCTTAATTTTGTGCACCCGTGCATCGCACGGGATCTGTACTAGTTAATGTAGAACCGCTACATTAATAAAGTGTAAATAATTAACGATAAAAAAAAAATAATAAAGTGTAAATAGTTTTAAAATAATTTATTTATATAATAATTACTATTAATACTAACTAATTATAAATTAACATTAAATAGTATGTGAAAGTTAAAATACTTATAATAAAATTATATTGTAATTTTTTTCTTTAAGATACTTATTTTGCAATAAATATTATTTTTTTTTTGTTTTATCAAGCGATTTTTCTCATATATTAGTTAGTTGGTATGGATGTTTAAATCCCTTAAAATCACGTAAACAATTTCTATAACAATGATAAAAATAATTTTCATAATTTTCTAACTAATTAATTTTATGGTCCCTCTAAACTACAAAACTACACTGTCCATTAAAATTTATGTCATAATATATGATTCAAACGTAAGTAAATAATTTGTATTTATATGTACACTTGCATACAGTCAAAAAATTTAAAATGTAATACATCCACTATTTAATTTAAAATATTAATACGGTATAATATATAAAATTTTATGTCATATGCATGTGCACATTATGATTAAAAAAGAATTAAAACATCGAATTATGTGGTGTTACTTTCATTTTGTTTTTTACTTGTTAAAAATCAAGGAATTAATTTTTTAAGTGGAGTCATCTGTCCAACTATAAACTCTTGAAGTGTGTAGTTGTTTTTCGTTTATTTGTTCTTGCTTTTGTCATTTGTGTTGATGTTTATGTTAGTTGTTGTGTTTTAGGTTTGGACCGTTGGCCTCAGTTAGTCCGAGTGTGAACTTGTTATCTTTTTGGGACCACACACTCGGGTATTACTCTGTTGGGGTCGTTTTTAGTATTGTGTGGTTATTATCCTGTTAGGGTCGTCTCTAGGCGGACTTCGTCCTGTCCTCTCAAATTTATTTAGTCGGTGGCTGCGTTTTGTCAGCTGGTGGTTGTATTTTAGCACATTTGTGTCCTTATATAAAATCTCTATCACTTTAAAAAAAAAAAAAAAAAATCTCTTGAAGTGTGGTGTTATTTGGACGTTATTTATGATATTGGGCCAAGCAAATATATGTTAAAGCCGAAAGTATGGAGAGTGGATGTCCAATGCGGATTTGTATCGTTGCATTGAGAGAGGGGTATATGCATATATTCGCCCATATATGGGGTAAAATGCACCAAACCCCCTGTAATATACTAAATCTGCGCGTTATCCCCTTCTATTTTAAAAAATACGTCAAACCCCATTCTATTGTAGTTTGGCTTGTGCGAAACACCCTAAACCGTCTAAGATGATGGGGGTGGTGTACTAGCCAAACTACAATAGAAGGGGGTTTGACACATTTTTTTAAAATATAAGGGGATAACGCGCAAATTTAGCATATTACAAGGGGGTTTGGTGCATTTTACCCGCGAAGTATATGGCTGTAAGTTGTGCGTATTGGGAGTTGTGAATTTCAAGGATCTATAAAGGGAACATATTTTGAAAATTGTTACCATAAATGTTAAATTAGTTTAAAGAGGATGAAACTGATTGTTGTCATGTTTAGGCATGAACCTATCTGAATCATAATAACATGAATAAAGATGTGAATGTTGTAAAATATTTTTTATAAAATAATATATGTGAATGACTATTTTGCCCCGATGTAATTGTATTATTACGATTGTGCCATCAGAAATTTCCTATAAATAAGAGCTTGGTTATAATAAAAATCGTACCTAAGAGAAATATTTTCTCTATTCTCTCTATTTTCCCTCTAGTTTTATAACACGTTATCAACACGAATTTCTACCTTTTAGAGCTTGATTGTAATATGACGAGACTATGCTCTACAGTTGAGTCTTATAGACGATCCTCTGTATCAGGAATCGAAATATTACAAATTTTATCTTCCTCAAACAATACTTCATACCATAAAAAATTATTGATTTTTCCAGTCATAGAAACTAAGCAAAAATTTTAATCCCAGTATAATGGTCTGCTGCAAGTGCCACTACACACCTTATCCATATTTCTCGTTTCTCATGTTCACATCACCAATCTTCACACTATACTTTAACATCATAATAGTCTGTAATACCAAAACAAATAAAAAAAATATAAGAAAATCCTTTGCAAATAACTTCAGCATTTATATCAATTTTTCACTAGAAAAGTTCAAATTATTTTCTTACGGGCATATGATCTTCCAATTTCTCCATTTGCTCCAATAAGCCCAAACTCGGTGATTATGAAAAGCTTTGGATGCCAAGCCCAATAATACACTGATACAAGATCAAAGAAAAAGAAAGAAAAAAAAAAAAGGGAAATGAATTGAAGAGAATCACTTGGAAGGAGATGGTTCCTACCGAGATTTAACAAGAAGTTTGGAAAAATAATGAAAGGATATGATTTAATGGAGTAGGAGGCAGATATTGGGATGATAAAACCTTATCATGGAGACATCTTCAATATTGAAATAAGTATCTTATCATAAATTATTAAATTATTATATTGTCATATGCATACATTAATATATGTGTATATATGATAATGCAACTAACTCCACTTGACAATAATTGTCTGTCAACTGTTAGAGTAGAATACCCGGCGTTTCAATCTGATTGGATTTTTTTTTCTATTTATAAAGACAAGTTATTGGAATTTATATTATTATGAGGCATTTCGTTATCTTATGTCTTTGCATTTATCTCATATTTGCACATATGATAAAGTCCTTAGATCATTATTAGCTATGAGA